AATCAAAATTGTACTATGAGCTTCAGTTTTAACATCATATATCCCTAAGTTTCAAAAAAATAAAACTTTTACCAGGACTTGTTTTGTGGGATTACACTGGGATTATTGTTGTTGTTGTTTTACCAAGACTTGTTACTTTGGTTAAATCAGCTTTCTTGAATGCACACAATGCTCACCAAAGTTTATTCTTAAAAGTTATCTCTGCCAATATGTTTCTCAGGTAATTTCTTTCTGTTGATATGTCTAGTAGTTTCAGCCTGAACATGATGGAACTGAAGATCTAACCTTTTTGTAAAATATGTTCTGAGATAATATGAGTCAAGTTTGCCCTTGTCCACAACACTGTCATTCTATTGTCTTTCCATTTACTTAATCTCAGCTACTAGCTTCTGTAACTAAAACCAGTTACTTCTGTTTCATTTTCTCAGGTGCTTGCTGGTCATTCTCAGCCACTGGAGCAATTGAAGGTATCAACAAGATTGTGTCTGGATCTCTTGTGAGTCTCTCTGAGCAGGAGTTAATTGATTGCGACAAAAGTTACAATGACGGCTGTGGAGGTGGATTGATGGACTATGCTTTTGAATTTGTCAAAAAGAATGGTGGTATTGATACTGAAGAGGATTACCCTTTTATTGAAAGAGAAGGAACATGCAACAAAAACAAGGTACCTAATTGTTCTCTATCTTCTTGCTTCCATTCTTGTACTAAATCTGTTTTTGGTCCTATATATGTTCTCTTGCTTCTGGATCCCATAATTAATATAGAGAACCTAAGACAAATTTATTCCAGATAAAACAATTATGGACAACATTAACATATGATTGCTTTGCTTAACTTGTCAACTTTGCAGCTACAAAGACGTGTTGTAACCATTGATGGATATACTGATGTTCCCCAAAATGATGAGGACAAGCTTCTAAAAGCTGTGGCAAAGCAACCCGTGAGTGTTGGGATATGCGGCAGTGAGAGAGCATTTCAATCATATTCGAAGGTCTCTTCCATCTCCCAATTACCAATCTCCTAATCAAGTTAGATGGTTTGTGGCAGAGAAATGTAAAAGTTGATGTCTTTGTGTTGCAGGGGATATTCACTGGGCCGTGTTCTACTGCATTAGATCATGCAGTACTGATTGTGGGCTATGGTTCCGAAAATGGAGTTGATTACTGGATTATAAAAAATTCATGGGGAACAAGCTGGGGAATAAATGGTTATATGCACATGCAGCGTAATAGTGGGAATCAAGAAGGGATCTGTGGGATCAATAAGCTAGCTTCATATCCAACTAAGAGTAGCCCAAATCCACCATCTCCTCCATCTCCTGGTCCAAGCAAATGCAGTATGTTTACCTCATGTGGTCAAGGTGAAACCTGCTGCTGTGGTTGGAGTCTTCTTGGAGTATGCCTTTCTTGGAAATGTTGTGGGTTGGATTCTGCAGTGTGTTGCAAAGATGGACGCCACTGTTGCCCGCATGATTATCCTATTTGTGACACAAGCCGGAACCTCTGCCTCAAGGTATATCTCCACTTCTGAACTTCCTTTCTGTATTTGATGCATTTTTTATCCTATTAGGACCCATACAACATGAAATATCAATTTAGAGATTAGAGGAGACATCTCTTGTTATCTGTCTCTCATTAATGAGATAAGCCAAGTTATTGTAAAAAGGTTCACTCATTGCCATTTTATTGTTGGCAGAGATGAAATAACCGGTTGAACCAAAGCCAATTTCTCTTGATGTGCTGTTCATGTTCGCTTCCTTTAACCTTTTGCTACTGTAGTTTTCACAGTTAATTTGTTTTAAATGCAGCGAATGAGCAATGCAACTATAGTGCAACAGCCTCAGAAGGAAGCATTTTCTGGGAAGTTCGGAGGTCTAATTTACCCTTTCTAGGTGTAGGAGTTTACTGCAGCATCATAATCTTTTAGCTATATTTATGATGTTGTGGATTTGCTGCACGAAATTAGCGTTCAGCTAGGGAATTATACTATGTGGCCCCTTATTAATTTACATATATTGTTGTTGCTAGATATTATGTTGTCTGTGTAAAAGCTTATATTGTCGCTGGTGATCAGACGATAATTCCTACTGTAACTCTTGTATCACATTATCAGCTTGCATTTTAGTAGTATTTCAGACATTTCAGTTTTCAGATGACGACCTTGTTATCACCATGTTACTATAGTATTCTGTTAGTAAATTAGTAGTCTACCTAAAGTTGGGAAATTGCAGAGAGTTCATCTGCTATTCCTTTCATCTCATATAGCAATACTAGATTCCTGAAACTATATGTTACATAAGAGTAAACCATCATTTCCATTGAGATTGCATGTTAAGTTGGGCATTCATCTTCTTTTCCTGAAGTCCTTTCTCCCCCATTGATTCTGATAATATCAGGGGCGAAGCTACATAGTCCTAAGGGTGGTCAATTGACCACCATTTTTGAAAAATTACACTGCGCATATAGGTGAAATATTAGGTTTTAGAGGTATATAATATATATTTAACACCCTTTGTTTCGAGTTTGAACACTCTTGATGAAATTCATGCCTTTGCTATTGCATGAATGCAAATTACACCATCTTTTACCTCAGCTTATACAGGGGAAAGCTGTTGCCTCAGATTAAGAACCTTCAATGATTCTAATTGCAGGCTTATGCAATGGTGGATTCTGCAGATAGACTGCTGTGAGCATAGCAAAATACTTATAAACATTGCTATTCATTAATCTCTTTGAGGAAGAGAGAGCATGAGTTAAGATCGCAGCATTTGTTTGTTTGTAGAGAAACTGTTAGACGTTTTATTTAAAATTGAGTTTAAGTTATATACACTAACAATGTAAAAGATATGTATATAATTAGGTCAATTATAAGGAAGTACTAGTAAATTTCTATAATGAAGATTTTCTGGTAAATATGGTAACTGACCGCAATTCTGATATTAGTTTTTGGTTTTGAGAAATTGACAAGGTAATGGCTATTTCATCAGATTAGGGACAAAATATCAGCTGGAAGAAACATTTCCAGAAATCTAACAAACTTTTAGTATGTGCCATTGCTGGACTCTCTTCCGAATGGTGATTTTGGAGGGTTTTAATTGCTTTGTTTTGTCTTTGGGTTTTGCCACTTCTTTGTTCTTTGAATGCGTTTCCGTTGTTGCAATTTTGGATGAGTTTATGTTGAATGCTTCACTACTAATAACAATTAATCACTGTTATAGCTGGTGACATTTATCTGGTGCAACAGTCCAACAGCTTCAAGTGTTGAACTGTTCTTTTAAAGAAGATACATCTTCACATTTTGTCCCCCAAGAGTGCAGCTGGTAGCTTAGTTGGTAACATTTGCAAGCAGGAGCGGAGCTAGCCCTTCAGACACGGGTTCAGCTGAAGCCAGTAACTTTTGTTCAAATCATATATTTATCTTAAAAAATTATTAAATTATGCCCAAATTATTTAATTTAGAACCCAATGACTTAAAATAATTAAAATACTGAATCCATAAGTTTTAAATCCTGGCTCCGCCTCTTGTTTGCAAGTTCTAGTCCCAACATTAGCAAGAAAAGATGTATTGAATCAGTAAGCTGAAATTTGAAGATTATTGTAAAGATAAACAGACGAGATGCAATGTCTGGCTTACGAGGAAGGGTGGATACTGGCGCCTGGCAATGCATAGTGTGTGTTGGCCATCTGTTATTGAGGTTCAAAATTTGCAGCAAAATGGTACAACTAAACCTACTCAACTTTGCAGTGTTAAAGAGAGCAAGAATACTGATAGATCAAGGACTAAGAAGGTAATCAAAGTGCATGTTACTAAAAATTACTCTTGCAGCACAGTTGCTGTCGTAGTTACACGAAATGCTGCACAGTCTTTCCGGTGGTGGACATTGTAATTAGACTGCTGCGACCATAGTAAAATACTCGTGAAAATTTTCATTCATAACTCTCTTTAAAGAAGAAGAGACCATGATTCAAGATTGCAGCATCTATTTGTGTTTAAATAACACAGCCAACTAGCTAGAGAAGATTAAATTCCCCATATGCAAAAGACTATTTTTCCTTTGCTGGTTTAGCTAGCAATCTCACTGGTCCCTACAGTCAAAGATGCTGAGTGCAAAATCACATCAACTGCTCAAAATCAAAGTTGGTATACACATACTCACAAGCCTAAAAAGATCATTCATTTTTGATCAATTCATATTCAAACTAAGGCAAGCTCCCTAATCCCTACTGCCAAAGATGCTGGATGCGAGATCACAATCACATTAACTGCTTGAAATCAAAGATCGTATACAACTACTCACAAGCCTAAAAAGATCATTGCTTTTTGATCAATTCATATTCAAACTAAGGAGATAGATCAAAGTACCTATGACTAAAAAACTACTCTAGCAGTATAGTTTATGTCATAGATTGACAGCAACATCGCACAGTTTCTTTCCAATGATGGACATTGTAATTAGACTGTTGCAAGCATAGTAAAATACTCCTGAAGAGAGAGCAAGATTGCTAGACTGCAACATATACGGTCAGAACTCTCTATAACATCTTTTATGTTAGCCGGTCACTATAAAAGCCAAGTATTCTCGGAACCGATTTTCATGTTATGTTACAATATTTGTCCTATATAACAACACTTCGCTATAGCAGCCAAAAAATATTGAAACAAACAAGATTGTTATAGAGATGTTTGACTGTATTTCTGTAAAATAACAGAGTAACTAGCAAGAGAAGATGCTAAACTCCCATGTGCAAGAGAATGTTCTTCCCTTGCTGGTTTAGCTTACATTCTCAATATTGCTAAAGACGATGAATGTATTATGTATATCACTGCTTTGGCTTGTATAATAAGCTACATTAACTGCTTGAAATCAAACACGGATCACAAAATCTATCTCTCATTTACAAGCCTAAAAAGATTATTGCTTTTCGATCAATTCATACTCAATCTACTTCGAGCTGCAAGGAATACACACAGTTTCCGCAGAAGTTAATCCATCCAACAGCTGAACCAAAACACAAATCAAGATCAACATTATAAAACCTTTCGAAACTAGTATTAGGCATCAAAATTTACAAATTCATAACACAATTCATCATCACCCTGTATATAAATTACAGAAACCATGATTTCCATTAATAATAAGTAACCAACCTAATAAGTCGTTTTTCATCCCGAAGATGGGAAGACATCCTTAACAGCAGAAGCAGCAGTTAAATAATTCAAAGTATTCCTCAAAGTTTCCTTTTCCCGTTTCAATCTCACAGCTGTATCTTCTAACTCAAGCAACGCTTGTTGTTCCCGTGGGGCTCCTTCAAACGTACTCCCAACGAAAAACGAAAACGGCGTCGGAAATAAATTCCGTCGTAAATCTGTTGCCTCTTTTTCAGCTTTCCCGTTCAATCTGTTAGACAAACGGATCACGTCTTTCATGTAATTTTCCACTTCGTTAGCTAAACCTTCCACGTCATCTTCTCCGTTAGCTGACGGACGGTCTTCCAGCCACGTCACCTCAGCAACTAAATACGGTTTGGACCGGACGACTTTACTGACCCGGAACCGTTCTTGTCCTTTACAGATTAGAAAAAACCGGTCGTCGACGAGGCGTTCGTGTTTAACGACTTCGCCTACGCAGCCGACGTCGGCGGTTCCGGTGGCGCTATCGGAGTAAATAACTCCGAAACGGAGGTCGGTTTGGAGGAGTGTATGCATCATTATACGGTAACGAAACTCGAAGATTTGAAGCGGGAGGATTGCACCAGGGAAGAGGACGAGAGGGAGAGGGAAAAGTGGGAGCTCAACGACGTCATCCGAGTTGGGTGAGCTGCCGGTGTGGTGTTTCTCCGGGAAGGAAGAGGCGGAGCATCGGAGAGTGTAATTATTACGACGGCGACGGCGGTGGAGGAATGGTAGTGGGGTAAAGTGATATTGGGGATTAGATTGAGGGGTTAAAAAGAAATTATTAGTAGGGTTTATTAAGTGGGGTTTGTGAGTGAAAGAAGAAGAAGAAGGTAAGATTTGAGGCAAAGCCATGGAAATAAAAATGGGTTCTTGAAAATCAGAGAGTAGACATTGATAAAAACAGAGGAAAAAGAAAGAAAAAAAAGTTTCTGAGATTGGTTATGGAATTAAGGAAAATGTAGTAGCATAAAGTCTATCTATCAAAATCTGTGGATTTGGAACAACTTTGTAAACCTAAATATCCATAGGGGTTGAGTATTTGAATGTGGTGTGCAGATTTACACGTGGAAATATGTTATCTTAAGCTTATGTGGCAAAATGTCTTACTTATGGTGAATGGTTCCTACCGTTTGCAACATCAATTTTTGGATTTTCATTTCCTCATCCTAAAAACAACTGTCTCTCTAAAAGGGAGTTACGTTCCGTCTCTTATTTCTTTAGTTTTATAATAATCAAATTATCCAAGGTATTACTTTTTCATTATTAGTCATAAGTCTTGAGTTATAGTCGGTGGTGGAACCATATGTATTTAACTGACATTAATTCATCAAAAAGTTATATTTTTTGCGTATATATATAACACATTGATACTTTAATTTCTTCGTCGGTTCTAGTATTTTACACATAAATAAGATTTACTATCGTAAATTCGAATTAATCGATTTTCAAAACAAGTACAGCAGTAATCCGAATACAGGTCCTAATGGAATGATGCACATTAAGTTTTTCACTGCTTTAACTAGTTCACGTTTATGAATGTTTATATCCGTAGTTTACAATTGTTTGATTTGTGGACGAGAAACTAATGCAGGGCACCACGATTAACACATTTTTTTGGGATAGAGCAGAGGGTAAAGAACAAGCCCGGTGAAAATCCAAGGTTGCAACTTGCACGTGTAAAAAATATAAGCTAATAGCTCCACAGCCAATCTGCCACATATTTCTTCAAAGGATCTAAATTAAATATACACGTATTTTTTACAAACCACTTATAAGAATCTTTTATACTCCCTCCCTTTCAATTTTCAATTTATATGAATCTATTTCCTTTTTAGTCTGTGTCAAAAAGAATGATCACTTTCCTTATTTAGAAACAATTTATCTTTACACAATAATTTATAACCATACAAAATATATGTGCCTCATTTTACACCACAAAATCAAAAGTCTTCTCTCTTTTCTTAAATTTCGTACCCAGTCAAATGGATTCACATAAATTGAAACGGAGGGAGTACTTGGTACTTATACTCTTTCTCAATAATCAAACCAAAATCAAAAGGTTGAATGGCAGAGATACAACATTTTAGTGCCACTATTGATTTTTTGACCTGGCGTGTTTCATAAGGTAGAGCTCCAAGTTTAATAATGGTTTTCTTTCACAGTACCACTCCCAACAATAGGAGTAGTAGAGCTGTATACGGGTAAAATCGGGCTCATGGTACACCCCGATCCCCGACATGATAAGCCGAGCTCGAGACGTGATAACAAGGGGCCGAAATCGAGGCAAAGGTTTTATCGAGTCGGAGGGCATGACGCCCACCCTCGAGAATATCGGGGTCGTGGTTCGGGATCGGTCCTAGTCTTGAACAACTTCGAAGAACATTATCGGGCAATCAAGCGCGGCCAACAAAAAGCCGTGATATCCGTGACCGGCTGGATATCTCGGCGGGGATCTCGGCACGTATCGATGGGGAACCAGTAATCAGTTAATCAGAAGATTTTTTACCTTTTACAGAGTTGTACTTAGAGTGGGACTCCCCTACTATATAAAGGGGGTCTGATAATTCATAGCACACATTTTGTAACACGCATTCCAATGCAATATATTATTATTTTTCTCTGTTATTAGCTCTTTTTCTTGTTCATCACTGCTAGCCATTGCAAGCCTGGATCGAGAGCGAATATTTCATTAAGGTTGGAATTATCCTCCTCCTGTGGTTTGAATTCATTTCATCTTTGTTTGTTTAATTTAACTCAATTTACCGCTTGGTATTAAATTAATCCGCGTATCCTTAAAACCACTTACAAATTTAATTATTATCCGATTTTGAGGATAAATAGTTTGGTGCACACCGTGGGGCTAAGGATAATAGTGACTATTTGATACAAACTTCTATAACACACCCTATTTTATACTTGTTCTTTGGAGTATCTTTGATTTTAGGTTAAAGTTTGAAATGTCAAACTCCCAGTCTGTCCATCTAAACGTGAATGCTTAATCCGTTCATCATGGCAAGAACAATAATGTAGCACCCGGTAAGAAGATAGCCCCCATCGGCCTCAATGGAGTTTCAATCGCGTACCCGATAGACGCTCGCATGTGGCCATCAATGCAAATTTTCCTACCGATCCTGAAAACCGCATCTGTAGGGAAGTTCGATCGGTTGCTCAAAATACGCACGACGGAGAAGATGATTGGATAAACTTGCGGGTGATCTTCGAAATGTTGCAGGCTCAACAGGTAGCAATAGCCCAACTCCAGAACCAAAATCGCGCCCCAAGAAGACTTGAGCCTGAGCCGTCCCAGGAAGTCACCCGCAGAAATGAACCCGTCACGGAGAGGGCGAATGAAAATGAATCGGGGACCAACCCTCAGATCATAAAGATGCTTGAGGAGCTGACAAAACAGATAGAATTGGGAGAGAAGAAAATCGAAGCCAATGAGAAAAAGGTGGAAACCTACAATTTCAGGGTTGATCAAATACCAGGAGCACCGCCGATATTAAAAGGCCTAGATTCAAAGAAGTTTGTTCAAAAATCTTTTCCTCCGAGCGCAGCTCCAAATTCGATCCCTAAGATGTTCCGCACGCCTGAGATTCCAAAGTACAATGGAACAACCGACCCAAACGAGCATGTGACCTCTTACACATACGCCATCAAAGGGAACGACTTGGAGGATAATGAGATTGAGTCTGTCCTACTGAAAAAGTTTGGGGAAACTTTATCAAAGGGAGCTATGATATGGTATCACAACCTACCTCCTAATTCTATTGACTCGTTTGCTATGTTTGCAGATTCCTTCGTAAAAGTACATGACGGGGCTATCAAGGTCGAGGCCAGGAAGTCAGGTCTTTTCAAAGTGAAACAAAGAGATAATGAGATGCTCAGAGAATTCGTGTCCCGGTTTCAAATGGAATGGATGGACTTGCCTCCGGTCGTGAACGATTGGTTCATTCAGGCTTTCACCCAAGGACTCAATGTTCGAAGCTCGTTGGCTTCACAGCAGTTGAAATAAAATCCGATAGAATATTTGACTGTTACTTGGGCCGACGTACATAACCGATGTCAATCAAAAATCAGGGTCGAGGATGATCATCGTGGGGACCCGTCTGGGTCTGTTTACCCCGTCAAAGCCATCGACAGAGTCAAGAGAGACGTCGATCGTGAACCAAGATCAAATAGGGATCAGTATCAGCCATACAATGGAGACCGGAGAGGTAGTGGGTCTAGGCAAAACCCTATGAGAAATGAAAGGAGGAGTGATCAAGGTCAAAATAACCGGGGACTCATAAGCAAAAATAGTTTTGACAGGCCCATCGGGCCTAAGGAAGCGCCAAGGTTATCGTAGTACAATTTTAACGTCGACGCAGCCACCATCGTATCTACTATCGGATGCATTAAAGACACCAAAAGGCCTCAACATCTACAGCCTGATCCAGCCCAAAGGGATCCTAACCAAATGTGCAAATATTATGGAACTCACGGCCACAGAACAGAGGATTGCTGACAATTAAGAGAGGGAGTAGCCTAGTTATTCAACAACGGACATATCCAAGAGTTCTTGAGCGATCGAGCCAAGAATCATTTAAGAACTTCAGTACGTCATTAACATGATCATCGGCGGGGTTGACGTTCCCTAGGGACCGATGTTAAAGCGCACTAAAGTATCCATCACAAGTGAAAAACAAACTCGAGATTACGTGCCAGAAGGAACCTTGTCTTTCAATGACGAGGATGTGGAAGGGATCGTGCAGCCCCACAATGATACATTGGTAATATCTGTACTCGTAAATAAATCTCGAGTTAAGAGTGTGTTAATTGATTCAGTTAGCTCGGCCAACATCATCAGATCGATGTTCATGGAATAGCTCGTTCTACAAGATCAAATCGTGCCTGCAGTTCGAGTTCTAAACGGATTCAACATGGCATGTGAAACCACCAAAGGGGAGATAACATTACCGGTGAATGCCGTTGGGACCATCCAAGAAGCCAAGTTCTATGTAATCGAAGGATATATGAGGTGCAATGCTCTGTTCAGGAGAATGGATCCACAACATGAGGCCAGTCCCATCGACTCTGCACCAAGTGTTGAAATTCCCAACACCGGGAGGGATTAGAACAATCTATGGGGAACAACAGGCGTAAAGGAAATGTTCACAGTTGAAGAGGTGGTCCAGATATTCGCACTTAGAATGACAAAAGATCCGAGCTCGATCGCCAAAGAAGGAACCAAATAACAATCACCGACACCGGTCCTGACCGAACCGGAAAAGCAGGGGACAGGTGAGGATGATGACTACAGATTCCCGAGGTCCTTCATAATACCCGATGATTCTGATGCCACCAAATCAACGGTCGAGGAACTGGAGCAAGTCGTACTGATCGAGCACTTTCCCGATCGTAAGGTATACCTCGGCACGGGGTTAAGTCCCGAGCTTAGGAAAAAACTCATTCAATTCTTTATAGCTAACATAGATTGCTTCGCTTGGTCCCACCTTGATGTGATAGGGATCCGGCTGAAAATAACCACTCACAAGCTGAGCCTGGACCCGAAGTTCCACCCGATCAAGCAGAAAAGGAGGCCCCAGTCCGAAGTCAAGAATGTATTTATCAAGGACGAGGTATCTAAACTCCTTTAAATAGGGTCCATCTAGGAGGTCAAATACCCGGATTAGTTAGCGAACATAGTGGTTGTCCCTAAAAAGGGAAACAAATTAAGAATGTGTGTAGATTATAAAGACTTAAATAAAGCATGTCCCAAAAACTCTTTCCCTTTGCCCAACATCGATCGCATATCGATGCAACGGTCGGCCACGATATCCTCAATATTCTCGATGCTTAGTCCGGGTACAACCAAATTCGGATGGACCCGAGAGATCATGATAAAATGTCATTCATCACTAAGTACGACACCTACCGTTATAACGTAATGACATTCAGACTAAAAAAATGCCGCTGCCACTTACCAACGCCTAGTAAATCGGATGTTC